ATCCATCCATCCATCCATCCATCCATCCATCCATCCATCCATCCATCCATCCATCCATCCATCCATCCATCCATCCATCCATCCATCCATCAATCCATCCTTCCATCCATCTGTCCCTTAATTTTTCTGACTGACTTTTTCTATTCCAGATCGCAGTGAGCTGACACTGATCTCATCAGTCACTTTGTGAGAGGCAGGGGACACATAGAGACAAATGAGACAAAGAGATATTCACACTGCCACAAAACATAATGACTTTTTTTTTTTATTCAGTCAGAAAGTTTCCCTGTGTTAACGTCCACCATTTTCACCTACAACCAACTAAATATCTTGATTTATTTCCAGGTTCCAACTTGTCACTGTCATTTGAACATTAGTGGAACTGGAGGACTTAAGGGGTCAGTTTGTCTTGTGTCTCCTGGAGGAAGAAAAATGTGACTCATTCTGGGATTGGCCCAGATCCTTGAAGCTTCCTGCACTACAGTCTGGATCGGTTTTCAGCTTTGTCTGCAGCAAAGATTTAGACAATAAAATAGATCTTAAACATTTAGCTTGGGGCCACTAAAAATGCAACTAATAAATAAAATTCACAAAGAACAGTTGTTTTTATTATAACTGACATATTGGCCTGTGTAGTTTAGCTGCACATAGGTAGATTTTCCAGATGTTTCATAAAACACACCATTTGTGCTTTAATAGTGAGGGTGTGTTCTTTCCAGTAAAGCAATTAGCTTTTAAACCCCAAAATAGTTGCTTTTTATTCAACATGCCTTTCTACATAAGGCTAATTATTCATGCTGTATGTTGGTTTCAGTGGTTCCTGTTAGAGGAACTCCCTGTACGCCCCATTACTGTTGTTTTTATTAGTTCCTCTTCCAGAGCTGGGTTGGGATGGGGTCAGCTGATATCAGCTCAGAGATAAACTCTGTGTGAAACTCTGCTGTTTGTCGGGTTGTTTTCATTCACAGCCTACATTTCTCAAAATCATCCTCTCTCTGCTCCAGGAAGCATTTCTCCCAGAAAACACCTCCCCCAGTGCAGAAATGTAACGTGCAGCCACTCATTATCTTCCAAATACCTAACCATAACCTTTTCAAATCCTTTTTGACTCACGTTTGGGTCATTTCCAGAAGTAAAACAGCATAAAACAGCACAGAGGAAGACGAGTCTGTGGTAGGTCCATCACCACATACACAAACCTCTTTTGTACTTCAGTTAAATAAATAAATTGATAGACACTGTTGCCATCAGGCTGCAGATTTATGGGCTCACTGTATTGTCTGCCTGCTTGTTTCCCATGGACTGAGACAAAGCAGGAGGGATGTAGTCATGTCTCAGTGGCTTTTTAGGCATAAATCACAAAAAACTGACCCTTGATGTGCAGCAAACGGGATTAAAGCCTCACTTCAGAAAAGCCTTTAAACCTGAACTGAGCAGTGGCTGAAAGTACAGCTTGAAGGCATTTTGTCTTTGTTTCTTTGAACCGAGAAGAAATATCACTGCAGGAATCCTGCTGATTGACAACAGATGAAGGAAATGTGAAAAATAAGAGACAGTTTTATGGACGTAACTGTTGAAAACCTATTTGTAATGAACAAATGTTTGCCCTCTAATCTTTGATAAAACTGACGAATACATGTCTGCTCAGGATGAGTGTTTTGTTTGACTTTTAGATTCACATTTCTGTTGATGAACACGAAAACAAAAAGTAAGTGATGTTATCATAGAGGTATATTTTGACGACTTTTACGAATGTGTAGTTTTTGGTCTGAGAAAACAGCATGCAGAGTGTACATGAATGCTATGAACAGCTGGAACGAGTACAAAACAAACAGATAACCAAAATGCATGAATTGGAAGATGACGCAGCAGGGAAAATTAGTTTGATTTATTTTTCATGCAGTTTAGCTGTTTTTAGCATTTAGCTACCATTCTGCCTTGAGTTAGCGTTTTGCAAGTCTTTTGTTACTTTTAGTTTCAAACTAGTCTTTTAGTCAGCCTTTTGCTTCTTTTAGCTTCTAGCTCGTCTTTTGCTACTTTAGTTCTTATAGCCTTTTAGTATTTTAGCTTGCCTTTATAAAATTTTAGCTACCCATCTACTTTAGCTTTTAGTTAGCTTTTTGCTACTTTAAGCTGCTAGCAAGGCTTTTGCTATTTTTAGCTTTTGGTATTTTAACTAGCCTTTTGCTGTTTTAAGTTTTAGGTTTGTAACTTTTGTCTTTTCGTTAGTGTTCTGCTAGTTTAACTTTAAGAACTCAGTTTTGGCTTCAACACCAAATTGTCTGTCTAAATATCAATATTATAATAAAATGATCAATCAATCAATGATCTTTTCTTCCTTAAAGTTGAATTCTTAATGATCCCGCTCATTCCTCGGGTTAATTATATTTCAGAAGACAAGTTTGGACATGGGACGGTGCACACAGGTCCAGATTCAAATGAAAGCGTCTCCTCCTGCCTCCCTGCTCCCCCCACACTCCTCCTGTAAGAAGAGTAGACACTGGTCCAGAGAGCACTCCTCCCCTCCCCTCCGTCCTCTGCAGAGACGAAGCCTGAGCTTCTCTCCCTTAAAAACCATGATCCGGCTGCTGCTGCGTGTCTTCCTCCCCACATGTCTCTCCTCTGAGCCTGTTCATGTCATGACACGGTGGTGCAGAGCAGGATCCAAGAGGTCCTCACCAAAACCACTGGGGCTCCGATGCCGAGGACTCTTCCTGAGGGGTTTCAGCTTGGTTCTATGAAAAATGCCCGCTTCTGTGGAGCACTCGCTTCTTTTCCTGTTGCACTACTTTGTGTTCATTCTGGCAGCCGGCCACGAGGAGCTCTCTGGCAGACTCCTCTCACTCTTTGCAGAGCAAGGTCAGTGGGGTGCATGACAACGGAGCATGTGTGCATGTCTTTAATGTTGCATGAGTAAAAAGAAGAGCGTTTGAATCCCAAGGACCTCATGGAGTTAAAAGTCTGGTGTGTCTTCTAAAGGTCACTTGTCCCAGTTCAGCTCAGATGTGTCCATTGTCCACCCAGTGAAAACCAGCTCTGATGGACACTTCATCTCCCACTCTCTGTCCCACCACTTCGAGAGTGGGAGAGTCAAGCGTGAACTACAACCCCTGTCCCCAGAAGGACACGTTTACTACCAGGTCAGCCACAATGAACAGACTTTGATGTTTAATTTAACCAGAAACACTCACCTGGTGTCAGGTGAGTACATCCTGGAGAGGAGGGGGGGCAACGGGACCGAGCACCATCACTCTGACGGGAACTCGTGCCACCTTCTTGGCACTGTGGAGGCCTCTGGTGTTAGAGGGACGGCTGCCATCAGCACCTGCAAAGGACTGGTAAGAGGTTACTCTATTGTTCCGTTTTATCCAATAATTGCATCAGGAAGCCCCCCCCCCCCCAAACTCTCATTAAAGAAGTGCATCACTCTGCCACTGATATTTGACTCAGCCAGCAGCAAACTATTCCTGTCTGTAAGTTTGACTTCCTGACAGTATTTGCAGAAGGACTGAGCTGCAGACTCACTGACTGCTGCTGCCTGTCGGCCAAACATTAAAGAATAAATAAATAAATCAACTTTATTCCTTCTTTCTTTCACCCCCTCTCACATCAGCTTCACTCTCTTGCAGAAAGCCTTCAAACTCCAGCAGAGCACGCAGCTTTTCTTTGTTCTGTGCTGACAGAGAACGAGAGCGATTTGGCTTTTTTTTTATTTTATTTTATTGCATGGTCTGACAGATGGAAAGACAGGAAAAAGAAGTGCTCAGTGAAGCTGTGCTGCTTCACTCAGGCTGCTAGAGAACTCAGCTGGGGAGCAGATTTATTAAAGATCGCTCCAACACATGAAGATGTTAAACTAACACAGGAAGCAGTGGAACATTTCTGAAAAAGTAGCTCTTTTAAAGCTTTACTCAACAAAGATGAGATCTTTTTCAGTTTGCACCAACACTTTTGTAAACGCCAAAGAGAATTAAGTTTGTTTTAGTCGTGAAGAATGTTGCTGAGTTCATGCCCACTTTGTGTCACTGCAGGAATTCCTCTCCTCCTGTCTCCTTGTTGTGTTTGTGGGGGTTGCACTGCGGCTCATGACAAGCCTGAAACAGCAGCCAGAGCCACTTTACATGCAAAAGGAAAAAAAAAAACTTTAATAACACAGAATTGTGATTGTGTAAATATACTTTTGCACATTCCTCAACACGCCCTCATTTCCTTCTCATTCCAAACGGGAGGCTGCTGTGATATATTACACCTCTTTGTTCTGTTAGAAGCTTTATAGCAGCTAAATGCACAGAGACAGCTAAACAGCAAGACTCAGCCAGACAGATGTGGGAGTAAAAGCCTGCCAGATGCAGAGAAGTCATCCACCCTCATGAAACCCCCACCATCCTCACAGACAGGGGAGAGAGAAAATATAAGTTGGGAGAAATATTTATTTATCAAACATAAAGTGGAACATACTGATGTCACAAAGACCAGGAAGCTTACATAAAGCAGGAATAATGAGACAAATGCTCAGCATTTACTGACATTTTGCTAAACTGAAGAGGATTTTTTTTTGTCAAGAAACAGATGTGACTCTTGGCTTCCTGGTGTAAACACCAATCAAAAGTAAACTCCACTATACAATATACATTATACACTTGTTAAGTTGTCCAGAACACAGCTGCTTCAGATAAACTGCTCTTTTAATTTGTTATTTTAATTGGTGACTGATCAGATTGAGCTGACTGAACTGTTTGAAGCTTACTGAAACATTAAAAAAAGAAAACCTGCATCATAATGATATAAACCTGCAATAAATCCTGAAGAACAGCATATTTTTATTCAGATAAGACTAAATGAACTTTTTATTGACTGAAATTATGACCGCCATCATTGAAGTGTTTGTTACACACAGAGTGCTCACAGCACTCTCCTTTAATAAAAACAATAGTTATAATTGTTTTTTTTACTGCGTTCACTACAGTTTCACACTGTGGTGGGTCACGTTGAACAGCAAAGTCCAGGTTAGTTAAATTCTGTTGCATTTTAATTTTCTAATTATTATCATTGCATGCATGTAAGGCTGGAGAGACAAACAAGAGAGGTCAAAAAATATCAAATATCTGTTATTGACCTTTAGCGTTATTGAACTGTCTTAGGTGACACCTGAGTGACGGAAAGGAAAAAATAAAACAGGAAATTGCAGTGATTTCTCTTTGATGCAGGTGGTAAAGCTGTAGATTTATCTGCAAAAAGCAGTTTTTCTGCAAATTTCTACATGTCTATCTGTGTGAAAATTGACAAAAAAGTTAAAAGGAACTTGTGAATAAGCACAAAAATTAAAAAAAAAAAAGCAAAAAGAAGCATCAATAACAGGAAAACATCAATATAAAGCTTCCTGTAATTTCTTTTAGACTGTAATCTGTTCAGAATATGTGACCTCAGCTGGACTTTGACCTAAATGAAGGAAGTATGATAAATATGTCTTTTTTTTGTCAGTTCAGCTTCTGATCCTTAACCTAATTTGTGAAAAAAGTTCATGGGTTACTCATGCAACAGAAGGACTGCTTCATAATTGGTGTAAAGCCAGTAGCCACTACATTAACACCTCTACATCCTGCTACTTTAACGCCCTACATCTGGTGACAAAAAAAATAATTGCCCCAGTATAAAGAGCTTTATTGCAACAGGCTTCACTTTATTTGCTGTTTTTTTTGTGGGTTTTTTTTTTGGGGGGGGGGGGGGGGTGTCTTTGCATCACCCTTAAATGTTCCTGTATAAAAACCATGTTGGACTGAGAACAAGTTGTTCCCTTTGTAATGAAAAAGTTATCAATTTTTGCAAATCTGACTTTAATCTTTTGCATACCCCGAAGCGCAAAACAAATCAAGAACCTGCAAGTTTAAATTCATTATAAAGTAATTTCCCTTATCTTTAAAGAATGTTTCTCAAATAAATAAAAAAATGCTAATAATCTCTTTAATCTGCAAAGAGGAGATTTCACATGATTGTTCCCTGAACTAAAGTAAATACAGAAAATAGAGTGCCTGATGGGTGCAGTTTGTGAAAAAGCTTTTTTAGTTTGCTAAAATGTTTATGATTTGTTAATGAGCACCATCAGCACACACCTCTCAGCACAAAAAGAGTGGTGGACAGAAGATCAACCAGGAAGACGCGCTACAAAGAGGCTCATTGAAAGCAGGGACCGTTGCTCTGCAGGATGTTTTACAAACTGCAGTCCCACAGAGCAGCACAGCTTGAGAGCTTCTGCAGCAGCGTGGTTGTATTGTTTAGTAGGAGTCCTTAAATTACCGAGCACAGAACCTGTGCAATCTTTCTGTTCAGCACACACAGAAGAGTCGAAATCATCTGAACCAAAATGGAGAATTACTCTAGCAGGTTTTGCTTCAAACCCCTCGTTTTCTACATCTTTCTCCTCCTTCCCATTAACCCCTTTCCTCTGACCTGGAGGAAGCGTACTGTTTGGGTATGAGGTGCCAGAGCCACAGGAGATTACCATAACACAGATCTGTGCCCTAAATACACCAGCCATGTGGAACTGCTCTGCTTCTATTTCCTGCTTCTGTTGGGTTTTGGAGCACCTGAAATAAATTAAATTAAATTAATTTCAGTTTATTTCTATAGCGCCAAGTCACAACAGAAGTCATCTCAGGGCACTGAACAGAAACGTTCATATACTGTACATAAAAAGTAATTTACGGTAATAACATTATTTATCTGAGGAGCAGACTTCTTTGGGTCTAACTTCATCGCAGACTCTCATCTTGAGCAAGCACAAAGGTAACAGTGGAAAGGAAAATCATGAGGAAGAAACATTTAGTAGAACCAGGATCAGGACAACGGCCATCTGCTTCGACTGGATGGGTTTGAGAGGAACAGGAAGGAGGAACAGATACACAATGGCAGGTCAAGAATCACATGTTAAGAAAAAATAGTATCAAATGAAAACTATTCAATTTTAACAATTTATTTAAAGAAATGAGGTCAATTTGTCCTCTAGTAGTCTACACCTGTGGCAGCATAAGCCAACCCTAACTATAGGATTTATCAAAAAGGAAAGTCTTAAAACTGGACAATGTGTCAGCCTCAAACAGGAAGTTGGTTCCACAAGAGAGGAGCCTGATAACTCAAAGATCTTTCTCCCATTATGCTTTTGGAGACTCTAGGAACTGCAAGTAAACCTGCAGTCTGAGAGCGACGTGCTCTGTGGGGAAAATATATAACAATAATATCTGTAATATAAGATGGAGCTAGGTTGTTGAGAGCTTTGTAGGTTTGAAGTAAGATTTTGAAGTCAGTTCTGGACTTGACAGGGAGCCAGTGGAGAGAAGCTAAAACTGGAGATATGATCTCGCCCACTAACTCCAGTTAAGACTCTGGCAGCAGCATTTTGGATCAACTGAAGATTTTTTAAATAAGTATTTGGACACCCAGATAACAAACCATTGCTATAGTCCAGTCTAGACGTGACAAATGCATGAACCAGTTTATCTGCATCATTTTTATATATGATTTTTCTAATTTTAGTGATATTAGGCAAATAAACTAATAAATAAAACCGCTGCTGTTATGCCTACGGTTTAGACTTTGGGACTGACAGAAAGTTTACAGATACAGAGCGTGATGTGAAGGTTTAATCACAGAAAACAGCACAATGTTTTAACATGTTTATGCAGAGTTTTGTCTTGCTGTTACACAACTCCAACACAAAAACAGAGATAAGACATGTTATTGCTGTCATACAGCGTTTGGATGAGAAACAGAAAAACTGTAAAATCAGCTGAGCGTTCACTGTACGGGGGCCTCTGGGAACCTTCAGCTTAACACAGATAGGTCAGCCTGCGTGCTTCAGAGATGAGTCTTTCTCTTTGGGGACTTTGGCCTAAGGCCACAGTTTGAGTCAGTGCAGGAGAACCCCATGTTTTATGTTAACCAAGTTTGCACAAAAACAACAAAACTTCAGGCATAATAATTTTGTTCAGTTTTACAATTTTTCTGTTATTCTGATCCTGGTTTACGAAGGGAAAAAAATCTTGAATTTCTTAGCCGCATCCAACAAAGTGTCTGCTTGAGTATTTTGGACGTTTTGAGACACGGTGTAACAGATGCAGTAACATAGTAGTTCCAAAGGGAGCTCTGATGTTAACTCTCTGAACTCCCAGACTGCAGCGATGTGAACCTGAGTCAGAGAGCCGCAGACTGCTGAACAAAACTTTTCCCCTTCTTCCCCTTCTTCTTCTGAGAAACAGAAATCAAACTTGCCAGGATGACTCAAAAAGCTGAGCTGCTTCACAAACAGCTGGAAATATCTCTACAAGAGCTAGAGAACTCAAAAACCAGATGAAATGCTCCGAGATTTATGTCCTTTATACACAATTATACACAGTTAAAGAAACATATTTTTCCATAAGTTTTGTTGATGCAGATTTTTGTCTTCTCGTCTTTTTATTATGTCCCTTTAAATATTTTTCTGAGCAAGGACAGAAAGAATAATCCTGGAACTGCCTGGACATGTTTAAGCACAGCTCAATAAAACCTATTTCTAAAAACTATTTTGTCACATGCAACGAGAGAAAAGCAGACATTTGCCTTTCAGGCGTGTTTGCCTGCAAATGTTGTGCTTTTTACATTAAAATCAATGAGCAGGAGCAGATATGTGTGTAGAGCTCTCGGCACCAGTACAAACATGCATGGCATACTTAGGAAGACGTTGTTGCATGGCTGCGGCTGCAGATGGAGAATGTGCTTGAGGCGAGGAGAAAGCTTCATATTAAGACCTGTTGGTTAATGATAGACTCAAGAGAAGTTTACATTTCTTCAGGGGTCATCTGAGCTTTGAGTCCATGGTGAGACTCTTCGATGATTTGTTGGTGGGCTCGTAAGTCCTAACACCACAGCATGATTATGAAGCTCTAACCACAGCCGAAGAATGCATAAATCAGCTTTACACATAATTTGAGTTTTACATTTTTTGACTAGATATAAAATCTTGCATCTAATTAAAAGCCCACCATTCCTTGAAGGAATGCATATCATCCACCTCCTTTCATACCAAAGTTTTAAACTAAGATCATTTTGTGCTGTGGTGGCTGTCTTGAGTTGGGTTGACTCCAAATGGTAATAGATGTAGAGGCACATTAAGTTTTATTAAAATCTGCTCAGTAGTTTAAAAGATATTCTGCTAACAGACAACCCTGTAGCTGGTGATAATAATGACAGCTAAAAAGTTCCTGGAGAAACTTTGACGGGGACTGCCACGCTGCTGCCAATTAAAAATTTTCATTTGACAGTACTTTGTGTTTGAATTCGCTCTCAGCTACTACTATACCAAATTTCAGCTCAATATGGTAAAAAAAAAAAAAAAATCACTGCGTTATAGTATTTTTTTTATTTATTTTAAGCTATGGTGGCCATCTTGGATTTGTTGTTTGGATTCAGTATGTGATTGGGACCCTCTTCTAGCTATAACCAAACCAAATTTCAGCTCTAAATGAGTAAAAATAGTTGATTTAAAGCCATTTAAATGAAGCTTTGGTAGCCATCTTGAATTTTTTTTAATGTAGGTGTTTTAAATGAGAAAAATGGTTTCTTTGTTTGCAAATTACATCGCCATGGTAACTCAAAGCAATAAAAATAGCACACATCACGGTGCCAAGCTTGTCATATTGATATAACATTTGTGGGGGTACACATTGTGGTTTGGTCTGCATTGAAGTTGACACAAGAGTAAGCTATAAAGTTAAGAAACCCTTGTTAGGTGGATAATAATAAGTGGCTGCCTTATGTTAGGCACTCCCCAATTAAGTTGTTTTTAAATGAGGATATCTGTGTCATTTCAAAGACCTGAGACTGGACTTGTTCTTGTCACCCTGTCAAGATTTTTTTTTTCCTCAGAGAGGACTCTTCTTGCTTCCAGAAGGGCATTTTTTTATCGAACCCGTTGAGAAACCACTCGATCATCCTGCAGGAACCCCAGAACCACATGTGATTTATCCAAGAACTGCTGAAGACATCTACAGAATAAAACGTGGCGCTGAATCTGAACACACTCCCAGCCCCTGTGGAGTTCAAGGTGTGTCTCTCAGTTTGTGTGTGTGTGTTGCAGCTGTGTGGTGTGTGAATGCAAATGAGTCTTCTTTTTTTCCTCTGTCTGCGATCGAGAGTCAAGTGAGTGTAACTGTGCTGTAAGCCATGTATTTAATTATCCACGCTTCAGATGCTCCAAGGAACTCTCTCCAGGTGGAAAAGGAGAGGGAGGAATGGGAGAGGGAGCAACAGAGGGGGGAGACCCAGTCCCGTTCGCAGCGTTCAGTCAGCCGAGAGCGGTGGGTGGAGACCTTGGTGGTGGCTGACTCTAAACTCATCGAGTACCACGGCAGTGACAACGTGGAGTCCTACATCTTCACCATCATGAACATGGTGAGAAGGATGAGCAAACTTCTGCCTTTGCCCCCAATCTGTTTTTATTTGTTTTACATATGAGATCATTTTCTCATGTCAACAGGTAGCTGGGATCTTCCATGATGCCAGTATTGGGAATGCCATCCATGTGGTTTTAGTGCGCCTCATTCTGCTGCAAGGAGAAGAGGTAACACCAGGGGCGATTCTAGAATCTGACGTTTAGGGGTGCTCAGCCCCCAGTGTTGACAAAGACTATTGGCTTGAACAACGCATTGGCCATTGGTGTCAAACACATTTGTAATGTGGGGGTAGGATGGAGGGCACACTGGTGGGGGGTGTCAGGGGTCATCCCCCAGAATTTTTTAATTAAGTAGAAGCCATTTCCAGCATTCTGGTGTATTTTAACAGGTTGTTAATCATCTACTTTACCTACATAAGTAAACACTTGATTCAATAACTATTTTAGAGAGCATGGCACAACAAGAAGTAGCCTGACCAACAGCTCTCCTTGTGTGAATAGAGCACACTCCGCTTCTCTCATGCATCCTAAATCGACAACTGCCGGCATTAACATATAGCACTAAGCTAGCACTAGCTAAGATGCTACAGACATAGCATTCCGCTCTACATTACACATCCTTCTGACCGCAAACCATTCGTAATGCAAAGCCCTGACAATGTTGTTGGAGGATGAAAATGGGTGGAGCTCCTGCAGGTAAGGGGCGTTTCACTTCGGGACAAATTGAGATTGCTGATTGGTCAGTTGCTGACAAGCCTACTGGATTGATTGACAGGTGGCGTTGAGGGTTCAACCCGTGCAAAACAATCATAGATTTTACTGGTCCTTATACGACTGTCATCATTTATTCCATTTTAATTCCAAATTTATTCAATATTTTGGTGAATCTAAAGTTTGAGAACTGAGTTTTCTGACAAAATGGTAATGATGGTTGCTTAAATTTTCAGGGGTATTGAATTAAAATTTAGGGGTACTTGTGCGCCCCCAAAAAGAGGCTAAAATCGCCACTGAGTAACATGAAGGTAACATGGATCTGATAAAGTCATTATTCTAACCCTGTAACTTTTTTTGACAGTGTTTGCATCACACGTTTAGCAAAAAGAAGAATGGCTTTAATACACATAGCAAACAGTTTGACACATAAAACAGTATTTTAGCTCCAACTAGATGATTCTCAAAGAACTATTAGTTGAAAAACTTCACATGCAGCAGATCTTCATCTCTCAGATGTGTCGAGTCTCTGCAGGATTTTTGCAGACTTTCAGATCCTGTTCACACTAGGTGTAACACTCACTTACTACACATTTCTCTTTAAATCTAATTCAAACTTGAATCCAAAACAGAGTAAAAACACTCAAATATCTGAGAATGCTTCACACTAGATTCAGCTTGTAGAACAATTAATAACAGGACGTGCTGTTGTTCTCTTAAGATAACACTTAATGTTCAAATACAGCTATATATGTATTATACGTATATAATAATATGTAATAAATATAAAGGCTTCCCTTGTACAGATAAAGCACATTATTGTAGCTAATTTGCAACAATTTTTATTTTGATAAATATTGTTTTCTCGTGCTTATGAAAATGGTCATTTTCCCAACGATCAAAAAGACATGAGATCGTTTTTATTGTTTTTACCATGTCTTCAAAGGTTTCATAAAGTTTCAAGTAAACATTTTGTGTTGTTTGTATTTTGAGTAACATCAGTTACAAGAGTAGAATGTAGTTACTAAATAAATAAAAGTTCAGAATGCATGAAGTCATATAATTTCCAAATTAGCTACTTTTAGAATGTATTTATATCTAAAAAAGAAGAAAAAAATCCTGAAATTTCATATCACACAAGTTGAAACAATTTATGTGGAGTTTGTATAAAAGATGTAACCCTTGGTTTTTGTTTTGTTTGTTTTTTTGGCCTCCTGTTCAAATCATCTTGTTACGTTTTTACGTACATGAGAAACTTGCATTAGCTATTCCTTCGCTCCAGGCAATCAATTATTCATATTTTAAAATAATTCCTTTTTGCTCCATAACTTGTTTTACACTTTGATTTCTGACATGTGACCGAGTCTAACCGGTGATAAAACGTGTTTCTATATTTTCTGTCTGTTGCAGAAAGGGCTGAAGATCGTTCACCACGCTGACACCACTCTGTCCAGTTTCTGCTCATGGCAGAAAAACCTGAACCCTCAGAGCGACACACACCCGGCTCACCATGACCTGGCTGTGCTCATCACCAGGCAAGTGGCACACAAATCTGAATTTACTGGCAATTTCCATCGATCAAATCAGCTACACTTGTTTTCATATTTTTCCCCACAAAGGAAGGATATCTGTGCAGGGATGAACCAGCCCTGTGAGACTCTGGGTTTGTCTCATCTGTCTGGAATGTGTCAACCTCATCGCAGCTGTAACATCAATGAGGATTCAGGTCTACCTGTCGCCTTCACCGTCGCTCATGAAATGGGCCACAGGTGTGTCTCTTTATCCGTGTGTGGACTTTTAATTAGTGGGAAATTCTTAACATCAAAGTGGGTAATGGCTTCCCCCTATAGATTTGCAGGCCCACCAAGCTAGGCAGTTTTGTTTGTATAATCTGTCAGTTAGCAAAATATCCCATGATGGATTTCAACTCTGGATGCACATCTACAACTGAATAACTTATGGAGTCAGTCTGATTCAAGATGGCAACCACAGCTAATTAACCTTGGACAAAAACAAGCATGTCTAGAATCCAGTTAATTTTACACGAGCTTAAATCTAGTGTGGTATTAGCTGAAAGTCACCCCCCAACGCTTACGCAGTGGGCTAATTCCTGAAATTCTGTTTCAACTTTTGGTTTTGGTGTGCTCCCCAAAATTAACAGTGGCCCCAACCTGGCTGCCTCATGACCATAAAATAAGACAATGTGTCAAAAAAGGCACATTATCCTTTGATCAGTTACCACAAAAGACATTGTAATAAATGAACTCGTGACATATTTGTTGAATTTGTTCTGTGCAAATAGAAATTCTGGAAGCGAACATAAAGTTTTGGACGCCTGATAGAGCTGAAGTTTAGATGTAGAGGGGCCAAAATGTTCCCATGTCAGTGAAAACGTTTCTGTTCAGTCAACAAATCAGTGCATTTTCACAACTTGTAGTGACTGAACATAAAACGACAACAAGTAATGAGACAAATAAACTAAATTTTACTAACTTTACTAGCATTTAAGTACCACTTTCATAATTATCACCCAGTTGCCTAAAAGCACCGATTTAGTTCAAATAAGAGCAACATTAATTTTATTTTTCAGTCAGTACTTTGTGTGTAACATCCATCCATTATCTTTACCCACTTATTCCATTTTGGGTCACGGGGGTCGCTGGTGCCCATGTCCAGCAATCACTGTGCGAGGGGCGGGGTACACCCTGGACGGGGTCGCAAATCCATCACAGGGCCACATAGAGACAAACGAGACAAACAACCATTCACTCTCTCACTCACACCTAGGGACAATTTAGAGCTACCAATCAGCCTAACATGCATGTTTTTGGTCTGTGGGAGGAAACCGGAGTACCCGGAGAAAACCCAAGCATGCACAGAGAGAACATGTAAACTCCACCCAGAAAGGCCCCTGGACCGGGGTTTGAACCAAGGACCTGCTCGCTGAGAGGCAGCAGCTCTACCAGTTGCACCACCGTGCTGCCCTTGTGTGTAACACCTGAGCAAAATTTTTTTCTATGTTTGCAGTTTTGGGATTTATCACGACGGCCAGGGGAATGACTGCGAGCTGGAAGGGAAACACCCGTTCATCATGTCCAGACAGCTGATGTACGACAGCTCGCCTCTCACTTGGTCCTCCTGCTCCAAAGACTACATCACACGCTTCCTCGAGTAAGACTGAGACTGTACTTTATTCTGACGTTGTTCCCTTTTAAATGATTTCATTTTGCCTCGTTTTTAATTGTAAGGACTAGGAGAATTATGAATTCTCAAGATTGTGAACTTTTGCAAATATTGCATGAATTCTGTTTGACACTGGCACCAGCTGGATGCATATAATGTGACGTGCAGATAAAAGCTTAATGCAGAAGCACAAACGCTTTCAGGCTCAGCTCATTTGAAACCAGACAATCAAACAAAGAGATAGTGTTAACTCTTGCACAAATACCTTCGTGTTTTTTTTTTACTGTTATTATTTTCTGTAAAACATGTGTCAGAGATAAATGAACCGATTCCCCTCTGACAACAACAGCTGCTGCTGAACAGTCACATGTCAAAGCTGAGCTGATGTAGGAACATAAACAAGTTCTGGGAAAGTTAAAGTTTAAGATTTTGTTTCTAAGGTACTAATTCCAAAAAAGATTTTAAAGAAAAAGTGTTAAAAAGCAGTATTTTTTTTCTTACATATTGAAGATGAATGTGTCCCTAAATCAAAAACTTGTGAGCAAAATTTGTGCAGAAAAAGCCGGTGACTGAAAAGAGGTCAACAAGGGCAACATCCTTAGACCCATTTCTGGTATAGAGACGTCCTAAAATGTGAATGTTTTGATATGTATTGATGCTCAGACATGTTGAATAAAGTTTGTGAATAGGTTTGAAATCAATTCTGAGCATTCCAAGTGTTAGACTGGCATTAAAAACGGTTAAATAGTAAATGTCCTGATGCATGCCCACTACAAGGTTCAATCAGATCTTCTGGACGGATTCTTCTTTGTTGAATTGTTTCGTCTTTAATCCAAAAAGACTTCTTCAGTCTGAAGAAGACTGAAGAAGTCTTTTGGACTAAAGTCCGAGTCCTCCTGGAAGTGGTCCTTTCACTGCTCAACAATGTCCTCAGTCCGGGTCAGCAGTTCCTTACCCAAACCAAGCACAACCAGGAGTCCGCTTTATTTTACGAGTCACCGAACGGTTTGCCAAAACTTACTTGAGGCTGACCAAAAGTCCTTCTCCGTGGTCTCCCCGAATTCCTCCCATGCCCAAGCTTCTTCATCCGCAACCACCAAAGCCACCCTGTCCCGGTCAGCTGTTCAGGAGTCTTCTGGGACAACCAAGTCATGAAGGTCTCTTTCTTCAGTATGACGACCTCTATCACCATTGGTGTCCACCAGTGGGTCCTTTAGTTGCTGCCCCAACAGGACCAATGACCTTCAGGCCACAGCTCCTGAAAACCACATCTACAGTAGAGGCCCTGAACAAGGCACATTCAGATTCCATGTCCCTGACCTCCCCTGGGACATGTGAAAAACTCTCCCGGAGGTGTGAGTTGAAAGTCGCACAGAACAAGGGCTCCACCAGACGTTCCCAGTTCGCTCTGGCTATGCATTTGGGTTTACCAGGTCTGTCTAGTAGTCTCCCACACCACCAAATCCAATTCAACACCAGGTGGTGATCAACTGACAGCTCTGCCCTTCTCTTCACCCACGTGTCTAAGACATAGAGCTGCAAGTCCGATGACAAGACTACAAAATCAATCATCAACCTTTCACCTGAGGTGGCTTGGTACCAAGTACACTTGTGAACCACACTATGTTCAATATGATGTTTGTTATGGACAACCCATGCCTAGCACAAAAATCCAATGAGCAAACACCATTCGGGTTCAAGTCAGGGAGGCCATTCTTCCCAGTGACCACCGTCCAGATAACGCCATCATTGCCCACATGAGCATTAAAGTCACCGCTCGACTTCACATTCAAGCTCCAACTCCTTTACCACCAGTGATGTGACATTCCACATGCCACAAGGAACTGGCATGGCCAGGGATTCTCCGATGCCATAAGCACAGCACCTGACCATAACAGATCTCCTCGCAGGTGGTGGGTCCACGTGGAGTTGGCTTTCTGTTATTCCTTCAGGCTTAGACTGGCTGAGCCCCACGAGCCAAGGCTCGACCACAAGGCGCTCACCAGTGAGCTCCCGCCTCCCAGGCCTATGGCTCCAGGGGAGTGTTCTGGTTTCCATTTTCTGGGCTAGGCTTCCTAATGCGTTTGCTGTTTTTTCTTCAAGGTTTTGAATCACTCTTAATCTGACCCCTACCCTGAGACCTGTATGCTGGGGGATACCAGGGGTTGATGCCCCGACAACACAGCTTCAGGATCACAGGGGTACACCTTCAAAACGTTAACGCAGCGATTCTGTGGAGGGGGCATTTCAAAATAGCATATCAATGTATCAGAAAAACAACTGGAGTGAACATTTTCAAACTTCACCATCCATCCATCATCTTTACCCGCTTGTTCCATTTTGGGTCACGGGGGTCGCCGGTGCCCATGTCCAGCAATCACTGTGCGAGGGGCGGGGTACACCCTAGACGGGGTCGCAAGTTCATCACAGGGCCACATAGAGACAAACAAGACAAACAACCATTCACTCTCTCACTCACACCTAGGGACAATTTAGAGTTACCAGTCAGCCTAACAAGCATGTTTTTGGTCTGTGGGAGGAAACCGGAGCACCCGGAGAAAACCCACGCATGCACGGAGAGAACATGCAAACTCCACCCAGAAAGGCCCCTGGACCGGGGTTTGAGCCAAGGACCTGCTCGCTGAGAGGCAGAAGCTCTACCAGTTGCACCACTGTGCTGCCCAAACTTCACCATGATAACCTAAATTATGTTTGGTTTTATAGTTTGCAATGAGCATCTTTAATGTACTTTTATGTTCTTGATAAGTTTATTTTAGAAAGGTTATTAGTATAATGTACTTATATTGGTTTTTGTGTTCCTTATTTTTAGCTTTAACATCATTTCTGAATTTGGCCATATTGTGAATTAGACATTTAAATCTCATTATTTAATTTAATGAATGAGTAATAATCTTAAAACAATGAGAAAAAACTCACAGAAGACTAACAACACATTTGTTTGTGTGCATGTTAAAACTATTTTGCGATTCTGAAAATGTAGCTACAAGTTCAACTTGAGTACTGTTTTTTTTTTCAGACTTTCCACATCATCTTTTCTCCTTCATGGCACTTTGTCTATTTTAATCTGTCTTTTTTAATCCTCTTCCAAACCCGTCTCACTCGGCTTAACATCTGAATGACTCTGTTTTAGTCGTGGCTGGGGTTCCTGCTTGGATGACCGTCCATCTAAGAGAGATCTAACCACTCCACTGGCTCGTCTTGGTGTTCGTTACACCACACACCATCAGTGTCAACTCCAGTACGGTCCAAACGCCACCTTCTGCCCAGAGATAGATGTAAGCATATCATGCGAACTCTGGTTTAGAAATGTCAAAAACTATGTAGAAAACAGCCTTTTTCCTTGTTATTTGTGGATTTCAGAACATTTGCCAGGTTCTTTGGTGTTCAGTGAACGGATCCTGTCGCTCCAAACTGGACTCACCTATAGATGGGACTCGCTGTGGTCCTGAGAAGGTAAACAGTTCTGTTTTTGTTTCCCAACAGGGTTTTATCCTCGTGACACAAAGTTTCAGCTACATCTCACTTATCTTATTGAGCTATTACACTTTTATTTTGTTCTCAATTAGTGGTGTATCTCCGGAGAGTGTGTGATTGTTGGAAAACTCCCTGAGACGGTGAACGGAGACTGGGGGCAGTGGAACAAATGGTCTCACTGCTCCAGAACCTGTGGAACTGGAGTCCAGTCTGCAGAGAGAGAGTGCAACAATCCCAAGTAAGAATTCACACTGAATCTGCCTCACCCTATTGAACATGCCTGAGCTTCATGTGCTGCTCTCTGACAGACCAGAGTTTGGAGGCAAGTACTGCACCGGAGAAAGGAAGCGTTATCGGACCTGTAACACAAAACCCTGCAAGAACAATAAACCAACCTTCAGAGAGATGCTCTGCAGTGAGTTTGACACAGTGCCTTACCACAATGAGCTCTATCAGTGGATTCCTGTTGCTAACCCATGTAAGTGATAAAAAAAAATAAAAAAACTCAATTACACTGTAAAACAGCACAGATCAACATCCGCTGGTTGCAGTCAGACAACTGATTTGTAGATGTAGTTGTGTGAATCTATCAGCAGGGGGCAGCATTTGCACTTGAAATGTTTATACCATTCTACTACCAACAGTATAAAAGCTGTGGTGCAGTTTGTATATTTCTGCTGAGGGTTTCTTTTTTTTTTTTTTTACAGTTTGTGTATTTAGATCTCTGTTATTGACGCCAATAGTTCTATGTGCATAGGTGCTATTTATCAGATTGAGTTTGTTTCAGCTCCTTGGACTGACAAAGTCTTTAGGATGAAAGACGAAATGTTTTAATAAAAATAAACCGTCCATAGCACTTGTTTTATTTGATTTCATCAGTTTGCACCAGTCTAATTAATTATTATCTTATTAGTAGCATGTATTTTATTTGCAGTCTCTCAGGATTAAATTGGTATTTTCTCTTCCTCCGTTCCTCCTGTCCTCAGTGATTCCCTGCGAGCTCCACTGTCGACCAGTCGGTGAGTATTTTTCTGAGAAGATGCTCGACACTGTGACCGATGGGACCCCGTGCTTCATGAACAACAAGTCCAGAAACATCTGCATTAACGGAGTGTGCAAGGTAGTGTGGCTGGGTAAGAGACTCAAAGAAACTGGGAGGTAGGGTTACCGGGTAGCGGTCTTTGTGTGGGACTGAACAGTATTAAACCTTTTGTTTCTGTCTCTTTTTTATTTATTTATTTTGCAAATTAAGTGGATCTTTACCTCTTTTCTTAAAGAGTCAACTGCGACTTTTTGCAGATTTGGCTTATGTCTAAAGACTGTGAGGAAATAAGACCATAGTTAAACAATTAAAGGCCTACCATTCTTTGATTGAATGTACATCTCCTGCTGAGTTTCCAGCCAAAGTTTAAGATCAAGATCATCTTCTGTTGAGAAATAACAGCATTGTGGCCATTTAGATAAAACCTTGACTATAAATATGTGCAATATTGCAAGATGTAAAGCTCAGCGTATGAGTTGTGAATGACTCTCTGCTACTTCCACATCATATTTTAGTAAGTTCAATACTGTGCTTGGTAAGGCTGATTAGCTGTGGAGACTATCTTGGACTGCGTTGACTCCAAAAGTGAATCAGTTTTTGATGTACCGTACATTTAACAGTTACTTTCTGCATGTTTAAATCAAAATTGTCCAGTGGTTTATGAGACATGCTGCTACAAGTCAGACAGAGTTGACTTTAACTAGTTAATGGTCAGTGGGGTACATTTTGGGATAATAAAAATGTGTTGTTTGGAGACTGCAGTGGAATGAATTCCTGCTAGACATTTACCACCAGATTAACAAACACCAACGCACAAACATCTGAAAGAACCTGCACATCATCCATTATGAAACATGCATAATTGATTGACTCTCCTGCTGCTTTTGAATCACAGTTAGGCCCTTTGAGTCATTTTGACACAAGGACAGCAGTTAACTGTCCTTTAGTACATTGTCCAACACAAACGTCCACTGTGCTGTTTGTGTTTCAGTATATTTTCAGGCACGGTGTGTGTGTGTGTTTCTGCAGGAGGTAGGTTGTGACTACGGTATTGATTCAAACGCGGTGGAAGATCACTGTGGAGTCTGTCTGGGCGACGGCACAAGCTGTGAGACGGTTTATAAGACGTTTGATGAAGAAGAGGGTTTTGGTGAGTGTGACAACAGTTATCCTCGTTAAATTATCCAAGCATGACAACTCGTATAACAATAAAATGGTAGTAACGCAAAACAGACAAACTCCTGCTTTGATGTGCTGCCAAACAAAGTGTGAATAAAAGTGCAGAATTCAAAAGTCTGTTCTTCAGGCGGGAAGTAATTTCAGGATAGTCCGTTAGTGTTGCATCATTGTTTCTTTGCTGCCATGGCAGCCACCTTGCACAGCTGTTGCAAGTGTGCGTGCATGTTTGTGTCAAGTGAGTTTGAAGATCCACGTCTTTGACTGATTTTACTGCACTTGGAAAAGTGTAACTCACCCACTAAATCAACATGTCAGAAAGACAGATTCATTATGAAAGAGGCCCTTAAACCAATAAAAAACCTCCCCTCCTTTCTTTTCTCTCTTCTTTCTCTTTCGGCATGTGTTTTCCTCGCGTTGCATCCCATCCAGATAACCTTCCCAGATGTGTAAGACTTCAAAAGACTCACACCAAGGGCAAGCCTCCCCCTCCTTTAACAAACACACACACACCTTCCCACAAACATCATTAAACACCACAGACCTGCTCATTGCTGCTTTCGGCCTCCCCCCAATCCACCCTCTATCCCCACGCAATAAAAAAACAGAGACAGGGCAATGCCCCCTCCCCTCCACCTCCATGCAGAATCAGCACACATACAGCCACACATGCCAGCCGCCCCCGCAAACTGAGCCCACACTCAATTAAACAAGAAAGAAGGTGTCTGGTGGTCTGGATGTGAGCGTGGCAGCAGCCATGGTGGGCCCACCATTACCTCTATGTAACTCTGACCACCACCCCACCCCCGTCTCTCCCAGGGTACAGGGATGTGGGGGTGATACCTGAGGGTGCCCGCGACATTCTGATAAAGGAAGTGGAGGAGGCAGGTAACTTCCTGGCTCTGAGAAATGTGGGGTCGGGCGAGTACTTCCTGAACGGCAACTACATCATTCAGTGGAACGGCGAGTACGAGGCAGGCGGGTCAACGTTCTACTACGAGCGAAGCGGGAACATGGAGAACCTCACGACCCCTGGGCCTACCAAACAGCCTGTCATGATCCAGGTGGGCCACCTTTGGAAAGCACCAAATAAGGATCTGTAAAGTGCCACAATATTTTACTGTATCTGAAATTTATGCTAATTGATATTTTGTATGAATACTTCCAAGTGCCGAACATTGCTGTTGTTTTCTAGTTGCTTTTTCAGGAGAAGAACCCAGGTCTAAAGTATCAGTACACCATCAAGAAGACCAAAGAGACAGAAAATGAAGTGACTGAACCTCTTTATATTTGGAGACACGGTGCCTGGACGGACTGCAGCACCACCTGTGGCTTAGGTTTGACTCCCATTAAACTGAAAACGTTATTGTGTGAATGCTGATTCAACATTAAACTATTGTTTGTTTTTTTTTAAATGCATTTTGGCATCTGACTACTTAAGCATACTTCCAGAAATTTTAACCATTCATCCATTGAAACAATCAGATTAAACAGGAGGTGGTTGCGGTAACTTTTGGCATTTGTAACTTTTATGCATTTTTCAATATTTACCTATATTTCATTCTTTTGTTTTGTTGATTAAAACAAGGATTTTGAATTTAAGTTACTTTTAATGTTTAAGTTATGTTGTGCCAACGTGAGGTTTTAGCTATATTTAAGTTTAGCTTTTAGCTTTTAGCAAATTTTAGCTTGCAGCTATTGTTTGGCTATTTTTAACCATGAACCACAGTTTTACTAGTTTTAGCTACTATTTTGATTATTTAGGCTTTTAGCTGCAGTTGTGTCATTTTAAGCTTTTAGTTTCTGTTTTAGCTCCTGTTTTGTTCATTTTAGTTTTCAGCTACAACTTTGCTGATTTTATCTGGTTTTTCTTGATTTAGCTTTTAGCTGAAATGTTGCTAATTTTACCTTCTAGTCCGCTCGTTTCAACCTTAACCACTCAGTTTCAGCTTCTTCAACAAATTTCAGCAAAGTCATTCAGCACTCAGCATTCACACCACTCAGAAAATGCTAGATTTTAATATTAATTGTAAAAAAATAAAATGCATTTCTTAATTTATGTATGTATATATATATATATATATATATTTTTTTTTTTTTTTTTGCCTTTAGGAGAACAACAGCAGCCTGTTCGTTGTTTTGAGGTAGACGTGGGTGTCGTGGATGAATCTCTGTGTGACCCAAACAGCCGTCCAGACGACAAACACCGCAGATGTAAGAATATGGACTGCCCTGCTAGGTGCGTACTCTCAAACATCCATATAACATTAAAATGTCCATTTTTTTCGCTAATGACACATGCACAATCTATTGTCCAATGGCTTGAACTACATACTGTTTGAAATGCAGGGCTTCTAAAGCTAAAAGTCATAAGTTTTATTGCTTAATGATGATGTTCCCTTTCGTAGCCAAAGATGTGATGAGTCCGTCTCTTTCATATTTTCCACAATGTTTGACTTTAGTGACATATTCTGAGATTTCAGTCATTGAAATAAGTGATTTTAGTCCAAATTGGAGTTTGGGTTTGTAATCTCTGTACACTTTGGTTAACTGTGACATGAATGACTGTTTAAAAAAACAAACAAAAAGCTCAAGAGATGATTTTTATATTTATTTTACAATTTATATAAATGCTTTTGATGATGTTGCAAATTTGTGGAAATAAAAACTTTCTATAACTCACCGTTTCAACAATTTTACATGATTTTTGTTTAGACAAGAATGAACTTTTTAGCAACTTTTTTTTATTTTGGCCCCCTAAAAAAAGTTCATAGAGGTTAGAGAAGGCGAGCCTGCCTGCGATCGGAAGGTTGTCGGTTCGATCCCCTGGACCGACAACATCAAAATGTGGGTGGGAAAGGTGAAGCACACCTGCCTCCACCTTGTTTGCCCCACCTTGGGCATGGGTTGAGCAAACCCATATCAATAACAATAAATATGGTTTCTGCAATAAAAATACAGGTTGAACAACAATTGATTTATTTTATTATTCTTTTCACAATTTTGTATTCCAACAATTTTTAGAGTGTTCATCACTTCAACAAAGAGCGGGACCTGCTCAGTGTTAGAGGGTCAAAATATGAAGGTTAATAGTTGAAAAAAAATATTTAAAAAACCCCACACTTGTTAATTTTCATCCAGAATATACGTTTCAGTTTGTTTGTTATCTTTCCGTCCTCTCTGGACTCTCAGGTGGTGGGTGGGCGGCTGGCAGCACTGTTCAGCCACCTGCGGATCAGAAGGATTGAGGAAGAGGACGGTTCTCTGCGTGCGCACAGTTTCGAGGGAGGAACGAGTACTCCACCCTGTGGAATGCAAGCATCTACTTAAACCTAAACCTGTAGTGCCGTGCAACAGAGATGTGCCATGTGGGCAGGAATGGGTTGTTGGCAGCTGGGAAGAGGCAAGTCTTTTCAAAGAAATTTGATTTTCTACGGGGTAGCTTGTGAACTCCCTGACCTCGAGACTTTCATCACGATTCTCCCCAAGCTTGATCCTTTTGCTTTTTGAGCTGATGTAGTCTTTGTTTTGCTTTTTGAGCTGATGTAGTCTTTGTTTGTCTTCTTCAAGTGCCCCGTCACGTGTGGAGGAGGCATTCGCTCACGCACTGTGTCATGTGCACTGGAGCCCAAAAAGGCCTGTGACCTCTCAACCAAACCCAGATCCAGATCACTGTGCGGCTTGCAGAGTTGTCCCAACTCGGGTTTTAATAGACGGCCCGGACTTCCCCCTGTTTATCGACGCATTTTCCCTCCAAAGACCCACCCTACTACTGGTTCTCCCTCGTGGACACCTACGAGCACCACACCTGCACCTATAAGAACCACTGGAGAAATTACAAGTGCTTTTATTTCTACCACTAGATCTCCTTATCTTCCTGAACCCACAACCCCTGAAATTATAAATGCAGATGATTATAAGTTTAATAATGTGATCAGAGAAAATAAAGAAGACAAAAGAAAAGTTCAATCCATTGAACCAAGTTCTGCTGAAAAGGACAAAGTAATAACTACTGTAGAGGAGGAAAATTTAGAAGACAGAGAGGAAGGAAGTACTCCAGACATGTGGATGAACACTCCAGGATTTGATTATGTTGTCGAGGACAGGACGAAAGAACACGAGAGGATTATTGATTTGGATTCTTTCACCAAAGTGACGTCCTGTACAAGTCAGACAGCCACACCAGCACCAGAAACACATCCATTTACCATAACCACAACTACCCACAGTCCCTCGCTCACCAGTACTGAGACATGGGCAGAGACAAGTCACTACTTATCCAACCCCCACACAAAGTCAAACACCAGCCCAAACAGCCACTGGACACACCGGGTTCCCCTGACCACTCCCGTCTACAGGAACCACGCAGTCTTACCAAAAACAGTCTTCCAGAAAAAGCAAACTCCTGTTACAACTGCAAGGAAAACATCCAGCACTGCGGCACCACCTCAGCCAGCGGTACCAGTTAGTAAACTAAAGAAATCAGCTGTAACAGTCAGGAAAAACAGTCCCACCTCACGTGTCAAACAGCCCCCTGCAAAGTCCAAAGGCAGTCCAGTCAAGAGCCCAAACCAGCAACCGAGAAGCTCCAAGAGCGGTTCCACCGGTGGCCAAAGCAACCTGATGGCCAGAGAACCAGTTAGCATGAATAAATCCTGGGTTGTAGGAAACTGGAGTGAGGTGGGTACAGACATTTTATCACTATTCCTTCTATTTTAAACAATATGCAAGTAAACTTTTAATTTCCCAAAGCAAGGAAAATGTTTTAAGCTTAACAATTGTCCATCAAAGGCAGGTGTGTGTGTCTCTCTGTCTGTTGGCAAAATATCTCTCGAACCACTTACCAAATTTTAATTAAACTCTCAGGAAGTAATCACTGAATGTGCGTCTACAACTGATGAACATTTGAAGTCCACCCGATTCAACATGGCTGCCACAACTAGTCAACCTTGCAAACACAAGTGGAAGGCGACACACATGCTGGTCAGGGCAAAGTCAAACTGTTCAAGCAGCATAGATCTCTCATGTCCAGAAAAACACTTTCCTTTAACATCCTGCATCTTCAATGGACTTGATTCCTTAGATTAGTTGATACCCAGTGAATGTAGAGAACATCCCTGGGTTCACATTCAGTCATCGCATGTCAGTTTCGTTTCAAAAGCTCCCTGAAGGTTGATGGCTTAACTTGAGGCTTTAGTCCACAAAATAACGTGCACATTGGCTACATTCAGAATTTATGTACGGTCCATGCTCGTAATGCGGAAAAGAATGTGGAACAACAATAACGGATACAAAAACACACGTTGAAACCACGTAATGAAATTCTTGTTTTCCATGCTCTCTCCTCACAGCCAACAAAATAAACAAAAGAAAATAGAATAAAGAAAACGAGTAAATGTAAATGGTTGATTTGTCATCAACATTATGCTCCGTTTTATTGATGAAATCTACCTGTTTGTCCAGTGTTCAACAACTTGTGGGATTGGAGCTGTATGGAGGACAGTGGTGTGCAGTTCTCAGAACGACGAGGACTGTGCCAACACGAAGAGACCTGAACCTGCACGAACATGTCACCTGCAGCCGTGTGCCACTTGGCAAACTGGCAGCTGGAGCAAAGTGAGTAACCTTAGATTCCAACCAGCCACTTAATCTGATCACTAAACCAATACTGGTTCATTACGCCTGATCATTAGGTGTTATTCCCTTTATTGTCACCTACTTTACCTTTCAAAGAAATGGGCTTGTCCTTGTTCTAACCAATATTTTTGTATGAATGTTTATGAAACATTCACACTATCGTGAGCCACTTTTTTTCTGTATGTTTTTCGTCATCTTTCTCATTCCACAATTTTTTGTGTTATTTCAACAAATCATAAATTAAAATGTTCAGCGCTTTCAGGACAATCCTGCCAAGACTTTTGGTATTGGTGCAACTTTAGCTTTTTGAAATATTTAGCCTTTTCTGCTATTTTTTTTTTCCTCATAGAAAATGAATTGAGCTCATTTTACATCCTTCAGATCTTTAGATCTGTTTACAACCTTTTACTGCTCCTGATTCAGCTTCTTTCAGCTTCCTTGTGCAAATTTAACATTTTTTCAGCTAATTTCAGCTGTTTTTTCAGCTGTTTTCTGCTTGTTTCAGATTCATTCTGCCAACTACAACATTTTTGTGCTCCTTCTAACTTCTTTTTGCTAATTTCAGCTTGATCGCTCCTTTCAGCCTTTCTGCTATTTCAGCTACTATTTAGCTGTTTTATGCTAATTTTAGCTTTATTGGCCAATTCCATATTTTGTGCACTCATTTCAACATTTTTCAGCCTAATTCAGCTAAAATTTGCTTTTTCTACTTCCTTCTGGTAGTTTAAACATCTTTCTTTCAGTCCACTTCTGCTTTTTTAGCTACTTTTCAGCTGTGTTTTTTATTTGTTGCTAATTTCAACTTTTTTCAGATAATACCCACTTCTTTCAGCTTTTTCTTCCAGTTTCAGCTTTTTCTGCTCTGTCAGCTACTATTTAGCTCATTGATGCTAATTTTAGCTTCTTCAGCCAATTCCATATTTTTAGCTAATTTCAGTTCTTTCCACTTCCTTCAAGGCTTTTTGTTTTTTTTTCAGCTACCTTTCAACAATTTTTTGCTAATTTCAGGGGGGTGGGGGGTATCAATTTTCCTAATTTTTGTGCTAATTTCTGCTTATTTAAACTCAATTTAGCAAATATGTGTCCTTTCTGCTTTCTCCTGCTAATTTTGACTTGTTCTTCCTTTTCAGCAAAATTTCAGCATGTTTTTTTTTTTAGATAATTTCAGCTGTTTTCAGCAAGTTCTTCAGCAATAAGCATTCGTACTGCATTTTCGCAAAAGTGCAATTTCTCTAGTTAGAATGTATTTTCTCCACAGTGTCCAGATAAATGTGGATTAGTGAGAAGGAGTTACCGTGATGTCCAGTGTGTCGATTCTCAGAGTAAACGTGCCCTCAGACCTTTCCACTGCCAAGCTGTGTCTGACAGGCCTCTCAGTGCGCTGCTTTGCCCCCTAAAACCCTGTTTGAGCTGGAGCGTGTCACCCTGGGGGGCGGTAAGACCATCATAGCCAAACATCAATAAACACTTTGTTGTTAATTCTGCAGAAGCTGTGAAAGTGCTGCTGCCCTGTATTATTAAGTAACAAACATTAGCCAGTCTTTTCAGATATCTGTGTTTCCCACAGTGCTCTGGCAGCTGTGACGAAGGCATCAGGGAGCGGTTGGTGTTCTGCCCCGAGCCTCATCGCTGCAGCTCCACTTTGAGACCAAACAGCTCAGAAGGGTGCAGATTAACGCCCTGCTCTTACTGGAAGACTGAAGCCTGGGAGGAGGTCAGCCCCACCTCGCACATCCAAGAACTTTCTAGACGTTTGTGTCAATATTTCCAAACTAATACTTTTGTTTGCAGTGCTCTGTGAGCTGCGGTGAGGGTCTGCAGCAGCGTGCGGTCACGTGCACGTCGAGTGAACAGGATGGGACTTTAATGCCAAACAGCCTCTGTGAGAAGATTTCCAAACCAGAAACGCTCAGGAAGTGCAGCATGCAGGAATGCAAGAAAAAGTCAGGTCTGTAACAGCCTGTTTTAGTGTTTATCAGGTTGGCAAGAAGATCTGAAAAACAGATTCTGTAAACACACACACGCACACACACACCCCACACACGCACTCGCACGTGTGTGTGCATTTTTGTTTCTGGAGCCAACTGCTCTTTATGAGGACCAAAGCCAGGTCCCCCATAAGGAGAAATCTAGTTGTGGGGGTTAGGATTAGAACTAAGGTGTGAATTGTGGATGGGTTAGGGTTAGGCTGATTAGGGTTAAGTCAATGCAAAGGCCCCAAAAAGTATGTTTACAAGAACACACACACTAACACACACGTCTGGTTATTGAGGCAAAACTTGAAGCCATGGTTTGTTTCCGACTCCTGTTTTCTGTATTTTTCGTGTCTGATTGTTTGTTTCCTATCATCTTTTGGACTTTTGTATTGAAAACACAACAATGGCTGTTATTAATAAGGCTAACTGTCTTTTTTTTTTTTTCCATTCATTCAGCCTTTATTTAGACAGATTAATCCCAATGAGCCTCGAGAACTCATTTACAAGAGAGACCTGATTTCTTTAAGAAAGAGTAATGACAACAGTGGACAACAACGACAACAAAATACAGTCACAAAAGAGGCATACAGATTTAATTTTTTTTTTTTAACAAAACAAAATAGCAACCAAAAGGACAAACAAAAGGAAAAGTACCCAAAAGAAAGAAGAAAAAAAAATACAGCTACATTGTATTGTAGTATAAAAAACTAAAAACAGGAACATGGCTGCACTGGTTTTTCCCAGGAACTTAGCAGATGTTTGAAGCCACTTAGAGAGGTCAAGGTCGAGAGCTTCAGATTTTTTTGTAAGATATTCCAGGAAACAGGAGCGGAATAGGAGAAGGCCCTTTTGCCAAGTTCAGTCTGCACTGAGGGAACACTGCAGGTAATAATGTCCTGGGAGCGCACGCTGTAACTGCACTCACGCAGAGACATGTAGGAGATGTATGAAGGCAGCAGACCAAGAAGTGATTTAAAGATGAAAATGTACCAGTGAGAGTCTGCGTGAAGTTAATGATGTCCAGTTAACCAGTGAATACAGGGTGCAGTGGTGGGTACAGTAGTTTCAGCCAGTTATGAAACTTAGTACACTGTGATAGACAGCATCCAACATCTGCAGGGTGCTTGTAGGAGCATTTGTGTAAATAATGTCACTGTAATCAATGGAGGGAAGGAAAGTCAAAGTTACAAGGCGCTTCCTAGCATTCAGGGTTAGACAGGATTTGTTTCTGAAAAAGAAACCCAGTTTAACTTTCAGTTTCTTTACCAAGTTTTCCACATGGAGCTTAAAAGAGAGATGCGAGTCGACCAAGATACCCAAATATTTATAGGAATCAACAAACTCAATAAGGACACCATTTGAGAATAAAAACAGAGGAAGAAATGCTGGGACTGACTTCCTATTTGAAAGAAACATCCCTTTGGTTTTAGTGGCATTTAGTACAAGTTTAAGACGGAACAAATCTGCCGTGATGACGTCAAAGGCGGATTGCAAAAGCTGGAAAGCCTTAGCAACTGTTTTAGTTCGACAATAAACAACTGTGTCATCGGCGTAGAAATGTTTGGATGCACCAGGGATGCTCTGACCTACATTACCTATGTAGATTGTAAAGAGGGTGGGTCCTAAGACTGAACCTTGTAAGTAAGAAGTTTTCAAAATGAATGCAAGTCAGTTAAAGGTACTTATTTCAAAAACCAGTCCAAAAAAAGTAATAAACAAAATACACACAATATGTTTTGCATATAGATGCCTAATGTATCCTTGAATTTTAAAAAAGTGATTTATTATTGACAGCTGTCTTACTCATTCTTTATTTTTTCTTTAACTGCAGATTCACTTTTTACATTTCCCCCAAAACATCTTCTCTATTCTCCAGTTGTCCACTTGTGCCATATTTGATTACCTACACAGACTGTGGTTGGCCTCATGTAGCTCATTCGTCTGACTCAATCTTTCTGGTGAATTCCTCCAAGTGCTTTGTTTACGTTGAGTGCATACCCGCATTTCAGATTTGCACATCGATATAACTGTTGGAGTAAACTCTTTCAAACTGCATCATTTGATAAAGTTCAGGACAAACTTTTTAATGCTTGATTTTATACTTTGCAGACCTTAAAATGTCTTTATGAGAAGGTGTGAACAAAACTGTAATTCTAAAAGTGATTTTCAGTTGGAAGCATCTGATGAATGTCAGACTGTTGACATCTCCTCCAAAGTGTTGGACTTTAAGTTGTGTTTCTTTTCGTTTCCACAGTTTGCAGAAAGAACACCATGTCCTCTCGCTTCTGCGACAAACTGAAGCTGTTGGGCCGCTGCTCGCTCAGGTCGGTCCAAAAACAGTGCTGCTTCACCTGCAGGGCGTAGCCATCGCTGAACACATCTGGACCGTCACCTCGATAACCACCGGTACGAAGCCATCCACAGACTGAGCAACCAAAGTGCTAATGAACACATGAGCAAAGAAAACTGGCTTGTTGGTCGACTTTTTAATTTTTCATCTGTTTAGGCTTTTTAGATTAATTTAGGGAGGGGTTTGCAAAAAAAAAAAAGAGCAAACAAAAATGTTGAAAAAAGTCTGGTACAAATAAATAAATAAATTAATTCAAAAGCCAGTTTTTTTTTGCAGTAAACCAGCCTGTATGAAAAGTGTTTCATGATATCTCAGTAAGTTTACTTCTACACTAAAGGTGCTTTTACAAAATAACAAAGGTGCTCTTCTAAATGAGGTGCTGATGATTCACAGCTCAACGGTTGTGTACGTTTTAAAGTGAAATGGTTGCACATTCAAATCTTGATCTACTGTTCATTGTTAAAATGGAAAATGTCAGTGTTCTTCGACTTCTAACGTTTATTTTTTTATTTTCTGCTTAAATTGTGAACTTGTTCTCTGAGCTGGCACTGTGTAGCTTCATTTTGTTGTCAGATGTCCTTAAGTTACTGCAGAATGTGATGACTTTAGCACCTTTCTGTCAAACTTGCGGTGCTCCTCTGTTAGATTCATTAATAAGAAAAAAGTGTTGCAGGTCAACCCTTTCAGGTCCAGCTGAAGATTGGTCCTTGTGTTTTTGTGTGCCGTTGTACTGAAATCATCTGTTCCATCCCATTGATCCAATTTCCCAACTTTGTTCACTGTCACTTTTTATTTTATTTTAGTTTTTTATTTAGAAATTTATTAATTTCATTAAAAACAAAATAACTATATACAATAGAAAACAAAAAAAGTATGTATACAATCAAAAATAAAATGAAAGGTAGCAGAAGAAGAAGAAATCTTATGATATCTGCCCCTTTTTGCTCAGAATTTATTCAAACAAAAGTAATTTACAAAAAAAAAAACAAAGCTGTTCAAATTATTTCCTTACATTGCAATCAAATACCGTAATTTCTGGACTATTGAGCGCACCTGAATATAAGCCACGCCCACTAAATACATAAAAAAATTCAATTTCGCACATATATGGACCTTTAAAAGAGATCCGTCCTGTCTACAGCCTTCAGCATCTATAACATCTCTTAATGAAATGAGGATAACGAGTTACAACAACATTTAATTTCCCTTTGGGATTAATAAAGTAGTTTTGAATTGAATTGAATATAAAGGCCGCGCTTGTCTATAAGCCACAGGTATCCGCTGTACCAGGAGATATTTACACAAAGATTATTTTGAACTTTTAATTAAATATGTACCAGTAACATACACAAATACATACAGTAAAGGTTTTTTTCAGAACTGTGCCTGTAACGAGGCTGGTTAAAAATAAATAAATATAGTAGCCTACCAGGAAACGCCTAGCTTACACGCAGCAGCTCTATTCCTTCTTCGACAGTCAGATCAATCGCGCTTAACTTGAAAGCTGCATTTTTTGTGTGTGTTCCATGAGGAGGATGTTCACGAAGTGCAAAATAACTGACCTGAAGTATTTAATGAGAGTGCGTTTCATTTACGGTAATTCAAAGTTTCATTGGTCCGCTGTGACCTGTTCGATAATTTCATTGGTTAAATTTTATTTTTTGCCTTTATTTATACAGGTAGTCTCGTTGAGTCATGAGAACCCACCCCTCAAGAGAGACGTATATTAGGCAGCTACGTGAGCGCCCGGGTGTGATGAAGCTAAATGTTTTGGAGACAGGAAGCTCGTTAGCCCATCAAAAACAAAATCCATTAGTTGCAGCATTATACAAACCGCGAGGTCCAAAGTTTGTGAAAAAAGTAGCGGCTTATATTTCAGTAATTACGGTACAAATAAAATTCAAGGTATAATTATAAAAAAAGAGCATCTTTACTTTGATGGGCTACAAGTTGGGGAGACAAAATGAGGAGGCACATTAGTGAGTTAGGACATGAGGCAATCCTATTGGCTGATTTGTTCTTTGTGCAAATAAATTACATTAAAATGCTGTTTTGTTAAATCAGCTTTGTAAATGGCACACGAATAAAAGTTGTTTTTAGTAGTAGTAGTTTGTGTTAATTTAATTGATTTGAGTTGAATCAACCCAGTATTCAGGTTTGAACAGCACTGCCTGCAGAACCACAGAGAAATATGTCAAAATGAGTATTTGTGCTTCGATTTTTGCCATTTATTGCCTTGCAGCCTTCTGCTTTGAGACCCGTCGAGCCTGCAGGGTTGTCAGCCCGGAGTGCATGCTGCATCACCTGACTCAGCAGCTCTGTTTCCAGGATCAGGTTCGGCTGGCCCAGATTTCCCCGGCTTCTCTGGGCCAGATAACTTGACTCGAATGGCTGTTGCCCTGCTCTGTACTCCTTGCTGCTGTCATTCAAGCCAGAGAGTTGGTCAGCATTAATGGAAGGAGTAACACAATACAGGGTCAGTGTAAACCTAACAATGCCCAAGCAAACACCAGACCATTGCATTACCTAAACAATTTTATATTTTTTTTTACCTGTGCTATGCCGCCGTGTTGCTCAACGTAAAACTGTAAATGATAGAGCCTCATTGAGCTGAAAGTCAGGGACTGAGAATGTGTAGGCTGTAATTCAGACGTAACTTTTCATTTCTTTGCTTGATATAATATAGAAAAACCTGTTTTTGCATGTTTTTTGTGTGTGATTTGATGTTTCCACACTAGTGCTTTGAGCGTCTATATGCTTTTCTGTGTATAGACAAAAAAAATAGTATTAAGTAATCAAATACACATTTAATAAAATAGCAGACATAAAAAAAACATATATTTCTTTAATGCCTTTTACTGGAACCGTTAAATGCTACAAACAACTAAAGTGCGAGATGTTCTCTAAAAAAGGACAAGCTGCTCATAAAATGACTCCTAACAGCTTGAACAGCTCATTTTCATTGTTCTAATTCCAAACAAGTTTGTGTTCGGATTCAGTAATTGAATGCAAGTTTGTTTTGTTGATTTTCCAAGCCTTCACTCCACGCTGCCTGCAAAGCTTTAAACCTTAAAAAGAAAAGGCAAATTAAGTTATTTGTTTACTTGTTGCACGTTTCCCTAGCCCGTCGCAGAGCGTGAAGCAGAGGAAGTGCTCTTGTCCACGCTTGTGTGTGTTTGCTCGTCTGCAGCATTATTAAAACATCTCATGAGACGGGATTTCATTTTAAACTCCCAGAATAATCATCAAATGTGAATCTATAAATGAACATTTAGAGTCAGAGCAATTCAAGAAAGCTGCCGCAGCTTAACCTTAGCTAACACTAAATATCTAAAACAGTCAAATTTACAGAGGCTGATCTAATATTAGTGTGGTAGTAGCAGCTGAGTTATTTTACAAACTCCAAGCATCACATCTTTCAAGATCTCACAGTATTTCATGCTTAAGTTTTTTTATACGAAGTTTGTCTAAAACTTCATCCCTTCTCATCATAAGATGATCCATAAGATGCTGGCATGGAAGGCAGCGGGCGATATAATAAATACAGTAGTCTCTCGTTTATCACGAGGGAGCCGTACCCTGAATTTCCACGATAAGTGAAAAACAGCGAAGTAGGAAAAGTAGTATATATGGGGTGCCGTTCGTAAAGTTACACAGTCAAAAAGTAACAGCAATACTTTGGTTTATTTAGCCTTTCATAAGAAAAAAAAAAGTTTTTTTTTCAAAGTCATATTTTCACCATGTCATTCATATGTCATGTCATAGTTCCAAACTAAATATTTAATTTCCCAGCTAAATAATTAATTTCTAAGCTAAACATTAAATTCCTAAACAAAATATTTAATTTGCTATCTAGAGATTTAGCTCAAACCTAGATATTTATTTTCCAGGCTAAACATTTAATTTCCAAAATAAATATCTAATTCGCTATCTAAATATTTACCTCAAACCTAAATGTTTATTTTCCAAGCTAAACATTTAATTTCCAAAATAAACATTTAATTTTCTAACTAAATATTTAGCTTGGACCCAAATATTTGTTTTTCAAACTAAACATTTGATTTCCAGAATAAATATTTAATTTGCAAATTAAATATTTATTTTGGATGTAAATATTTAACTTGCTAGCTAAATATTTAGCTTGCAAACTAATTATACCTTAGCTTAGCTTGCAAGTTAAATGTTTTGGTCCATCCGAGCTAAATATTTAGTTAGCAAATTGAATATTTAGATTAGGAAATAAATATTTAGCTTAAAACTTAAATGTTTAGTTTGGAAATTAAATATTTAGCTTGGACAATAAATATTTAGTTTGGAAATTAAATATTTTATTTAAACCTAAATATTTAGTTTAGTAACTAAATATTTAACTTGCAAGTTAAGTAGGGGGAGTGGTGGTGCAGAGGTTAGAAGATGGGCTTGTGATCGGAAAGTCACAGGTTCAACTCCCGGTACCGTCAACATGAAAATGTGGATGGCAAAGGTAGAACACCCACACCACCCTCCACCCTCATTTGCACCACTCTGGGCCCCCGAGCAAGGCCCTCAACCCCCACCATCTGCTCCCCAAACAGGTCTCTCTTGAAAATGAGTTCTCGTGGCTCAATGAGTCTGTATAAATAAAGGGTAAATGAAAAAAAAAGTATTTAGTTTGTAAACCAAACATTTCACTTGTAAATTAAATATTTAGTTTGGAACTATGACATTTATAAATGTGTGAAAAACATGGTGAAAATATGATTTTGAAAAAAAACCCTATTTTTTTCTTATGAAAGGCTAAATAAACCAAAATATTGCTGTGCATTTTTGACTGTGTAACTTTACAGATGGCACCCCATAAGTACAGGTAGTAAGTAGTAGTTTATATATATATATATATATATATATATATATATATTTTTTTTTTTTTATAAAGGCTTTTTAAACCCTTCTCACACTCTTGCAATATTCTAAACAAAGTTTCTAAACTCTAAACACTCGAAAAGAGCAGAGAATATCAGGATTTCCCTCTGTGCCTCCGCTGCTCTCAGCCACCTGCAAGCGCTCTTG